ATATATATATGTACATGTATATATAAACCTCAGTTTTTTAGGAGAAATAGTAGCTACTAACTAAATATAATGAATTAACTTGATTCTAATTGAGCGTCATTTTTGGTTTCACTTTATTACTAAGAACCAACGAGCTATACTACACATAGAGTGGCTGATCATATGGTTTCATTGCTCTTAGTCGATGCTCGACGCCACCATGTGTTTTGCAGTAAAAACATGAGAGGTGTTTGATGGTAGCGAGTTGTTTTTATCAGATCTTATTTGTATATAGTTGTCTTTTATCTGTATTATATTAATGGTTGGAATAATAATATTCACACTGCCTTTAATGTGTTCGGCATATAACTGTAAAAATAGAAGTCATCTAACCACAAATATATCATTTTTCGAGTTTGCCGCCTTTATTGTGATCTGTTTACTTACTTCTTATTGCAATAATATTCACTTTCAGGCGTTATGCTAACTGCAATAACATTTGGCAGCAAACAAATGGAAGCTGCAACAGCTTCCATTTTTATGAATAACCTAAGCAGGTATCATCGAGTTCTTAAAGTTTCTCAATTCGTTCTGCTTACATATTGTGATGTTTTCAAATGATTGGTGCTTGGTTGTGGAACTCGGGATTTATACAATGCGCGGCCCACGCTCCCCCGGCCGAAATCAGCGCCAAATGGAATGCTAGAATAGTTAGTTCCTTCGGAGGGCGCCGCTTTGACTGCAAAATACATGGCTTCAATTTGCTGCAAAAATGTAGACGCTTCAGACACTCTATGTAATATAATCTAGCTCGTTGCTAATAACACATAAATATTTGGTACTAGTATAATACAAATGCCAGCGGCGGCGATGGTGTAACGGTTAGCGTTCCGGACTGTTGTACTCCAGTTGGCGGAATCCAACCCGATCGAAGCCGTGGATTTTTAAGGGCGAAAAAATCCTTCGTACGTCGGAAGGGCAGTAGAGCCGGCTGCCCTATGTTAGTAGATTTACTTGCATGTAAAAGATCCTCAAGCCTAAATGACGTAGCCTCTGAGCTAAATCCAAATCGCCTGTTTCTCGCTCAAGAAATACCTCCTTTCTCTGCTAGTTGATGAAAGGGGCGTGGCGAAATTTGCGTGGTCAGACGGAAGAGCGGGCCTAATGGCCCGAGTCTCGCCACGTAAAATAAGGCAAATTCAATTCAATGTTGAGCCACTACCATGCAACTCGTGATTTTACTAGTAAGGAAGTAGCCTATCTAGGAATGGCCGGGCGGGGTCGGAAGGGAGCGTGGAGCGGGCCGGAAGGGGTGGGCTAGCAGGACACGGAGGCGGAGTGGGCAGCGTGGTTCGGCGAGGGGAAGGGGGATGGGGCAGTGTGGTGCGGTGCGGAATGGGCCGGGAGGGGAGGAAGGGTTGGCGAGACGGAAAGAGAGTGCAGCGTCGCAAAGCGTGTTGGGAAGGGCAGGCGGCAGGAAGGAAGAGAATGAAGCAGACGGGACGGGCAGTTGGACGGGAGTTGCCTAGTACGAGATGATTTTGGTCATACAATAACCGTGCAATAAACCGCGATCAATAAACTAAAAAAATGCAAATAATTTTCATATTATTTAGTCGTCAACCACCCAACAAATTTATGTTTGTTTTCGATTATTAATCAATACGTAACATCATTTGAAATGTCAGTTACGTATTGGCCACTTCTCTAGTCGTTGGCTAAAATAAACAATGTAACCGTAAAAGTAAAAGTAAAGACCAAGTTCCTTTTTTCGATTTATTGGTAATTTGTATTTTAAAGCTGAGATTCATTATGCTAAATTCGTTTTTTTTATATATATAGAATTTATTTCACAAAATTTTATGAGTACTTTATAGCCACTAAAGAATTATAGTCACTAAGGAATTATCGTTTAGTATTTTTATTTATTTTCATTACAATCTTTTATTTAATTAAGCCTCAACTTCTTTTCATTGTATATAATGTTTTGTTCACAGATCTCTCCTATATAAGCTTTTTAGTTGTTCTTCTCTCCCCCTCCTCACCATAGTATAGTAAACCGTATACCTCAACATACAATCTCGCAATTTTGCATTCATAATGTCCGTATTTCAGGTTACGTTTAGTTGTAATTTCGCTCACATCTCAGGGTTAAAATATATTATTGCTATTATACAGACGGTTAAGATTTGTACAGGTCGCGAGGAGATTCATGCAAACTTTGCACCCGAAAATCAGGATGTTTGTGTGATAATGGATAGATACGCCTTGCATAACTATCAGATTATAAGCTGTTGAGATAGAACTTGCTAATTGTGTCTGAAGTAAGATCTAGTAATGTCTTCCAGATCAACATTATATTTTAATTTTGAGGGGTACATTGCACGAACCCATGTGACGTGTTCAAAACTTTCCAGAAAATTTATTTCAATGTTTTTGCTCGAATAGAAAAAAAATGTTTGTATAAAAATGTCACAGTCTCTATTCTCATTAAAACCTAGTTAATTTTGAAATTGACAAACAATCAAATTTATTTTCGAACTTATCGTACTCTTTAATATCATAGCTAGATATTTATGTCTCTATGCAATTTATCTGTCAATTATAGATATTTAAATTATACCACCCACTTTTTAGAAACCTACGTGCTCAGTTAAACTAATAACGCTAAGAGGAGGAAGAATTTGAGAATGTCGCGCATACCCACTAGTTTAGCTACTTTTACTGTAATTAATTGTGATCAAAACAATTCTCTGATATTTCTACGCACCTCCAAAACACGTTCTCGAACAATATACCCGCGTTTTCTTTTTGTCATTGAAATTATTTATCTTTGCAATCGTCGGCGAAGCTGTATCTTCGAGAAGCCTGCTTCTCGATGATGACCCTTAGCCAGCATTCCGGGGTGCATACACGCTTTATTTTATTACCGTTGTTTTGTAATATTATAAGCCTGAAAATAAAACTTCAATAATTGCTTCTATCGTGTAAAATCGTTTAAAACTTAACTCCTCACGGCTGCCGGGGAGGCAGCGCGCAGCCTCGGCGAGAGACCGCGGGAGCGCGCCACTGCGGGCCGCGCCGGAGAGAAGGGCGAGAGGGGCGAGGCGCGGCGTGCGCACACATGGCAGCCGGCGCAGCCGCAGTCGCGCCCTGACCCGCCGCGCGCGCGCCCGCTCGCCCGCATCCGTCTCTGACATGCGGCCCACAGCACCCGCTCCCCTGTGACCGACCCACCAGTGCACCAACCTCACCTCCAACGGAACATTATTTTATATTTATGTTTTGTACCTCTACTGTGTTGTGAAGCAGTTTTATTATTTTTTTAATACATATAATTTAATTTATTTTTGGGTGATTTTCTTTTCGACGTACAAACAAGTGCGTTTTTTAACGGACGAGGCGTCGGCAGTGTGCGTGTGTGTAGTGAGCGGTCGTGGAAGTACTGTAGAAGCCGCAGCAATGGTTCGGTCCGGGCGGACGGTGCGGTGTACGGCAGTGATGCTGGCCGCCGTGTTCAGTGCGACTGCGTTGCTGTGCAGCTTGTGCCCCGGTGTGGATGCGTTCAACGTGGACGTGGACCACATCGTGCGCTATTCCGGAAGAGGCGCCGACGACATGTTCGGCTTCAGCGTGGCCCTGCATAAAGAGTCTCAGTCCGGAGAGAGCTGGTGAGTGGAGGCGGTGAGCCGAGCACCCACTGTGTGCGCGTGTGTGTGTGTTTGTAGGTGGACGGCGCGCGGAAGCGTTTGAGTTGCCCGCGCTGCGGTCGCCGCTCCGGCGAGGCGGCCCAGGGCGCGGGAGTTGAAGGGTCGAAGGCAGGACGAGCTGCGTGCGGTACTCGAGGCGCTCGTTTCCAACAAAAATGTGTTGTTGTTTTTTTTTCACACCGAAGCGTACAATTAGGATTATTCAGGTTCTAGTTGGGTTGTGTATATAAATATGCACATCACGAGAAAGTCCATGAAATCATTATTTTAAGAAACTTGATTTCCAAAATATTCCGATATTCGTAATTTTGCGGTCTGCACATATTCCTTGTAATTCAACAATCTCACTTTGGCGAGGCGGCTAAAGGTGCGAGAGGGTGCCCAAAGGTGGAAGGGAGGACGATTTGCGGTAATATGATACATCTGCGTTTGACATACGCGTGTCCAATATTTTGGTTAGGGGTATGCCCAGAATTTTTAAAAAAAGATTGAAAATAAAGCAATAATTTCAACAAATTCGATGAAATTTATTCATAAAATAAAAGTAAGTAATTCAATATGAGCTAATATTCATAATTATTTAACAATTATTTTAGTTTTCGTTGCATTGTTTACATGTTTTACATCTTAACTTACGTTACTAAGTTGGGTTGTGGATAAGACTAAGTTGTGTTTATTGACATACGCGATTTAATCTCAAAAGAAAATCCTAGAAATAATTATGTTTTTAAACATTACCTTATTTCAGCTTCAAAGAAATCAAACCTCTCTTAATTAGCCCGATTGCCATCGACTGGTCCTATTTCCTACAAATAATTTGCTATTTAATGCATTCTTAAAATTTTGATAAATAAATAGAGATATTGTCAGGTATCAATATTTTAATTCCAATTAATTTTAATTCCAACATCCAATTAACATTCTTAAAACTAATAATGCTTGAAGGAAAGGGCTCCATCAACGCTGCAGGTCGAGTTCATGTGTCTACGGTTCTACAAGTATATCCAAAATATTTTTCGTTTTCTATTCTTATGACTTACACTACGATGTGTACACAGGTCGACTAATGTAATCTACTTTGAATCCAGATTTTGGCTACAGTATCTTAATTGTGTAATTCAGTGTTACCTTTTGTCTAGGGCAAGGGATTTCATATTCAAACATTTGGATTCCTTTTTAGTAGTACTACGTTAGTACTAGGAGTTACAATTTCTTGTAAGACAGTTGTGAACCTTTAATATATTCGTCAAACGCACGTAACACACTGTATATAGTATAACATGACGAGGAAGAAAGTTGACAGGCATTTCCGCATAGAACTGCTGTTACCTCACACGACAAGGATGTCTGAATCACGTTTTCCAAAATGTACGAAGAAATGGATTCTACTGCATTGTTTTGTTGGAACCATTGTCACAGACAATTCCCATTTTGACGTATTACAAGTTGACTTGTAATAATTTTCCTTAGGAAAACTTAAGCGACCTTAAAATTTACAATCCTGAACCCACGTATCCGGTCTCATGGAATCTATTGGAATCACCTGATGTTCCATCTGCTAGCGTCGTCCATTTTTAGGTACGGCAGAGTTTTCCGCTTCTGCAGGATATATTTTGGGAATTTTGCGAAATTTTAAATTTGTCGAAAAGCAAAGGAATGTCGTGGTAAATTAGGGAAAATGAACTTTGGGTTGGAATTCGTAAAACAGTCTACAAATATACAAATCCTGAAAAATGGACGTTTCTATGTACATCAAAGGAAAGTTAACATGCAAATTCAAAAGTAAAACTTATGCATTTTGTGTATTTTTATTGATCAAAACATTTTTTTGAACAAGTGGACTATTCAGTATGTTTTGAAATGTAACAGGTTTTTTATTAACCTCTATTTGCCATTGATGATTAAAAATTACAGAACTCGATGATTAGTGTTAAACGATTCGTTGTGCTATTTATTTTCCTTTGGTCGTTGATATTTCAGTGTTTATTTATGCATTTGTGTGTTTCGCTTTCTATCAACATGCAAAACATGTACAGAGCACTCTATTCATCTCCTCTGCAAATTTCAACGTCCCAAATCTATAGTATCGATGTTCCCAGAACATGCATGACTTAACTATATAGATAGTTATTAGATAATATATTTCAAAACTTGACTTCTCGTGTGCAACTTCGAGGAAAATTTGTGTCTTCTACTTGGCTGATATTTTCTTCTGAGTACCGTATTGGTGTACTGCGTGTATTGGTGCATTCGTTGACATACAAATTACTGCGTACTACGTGTAAAATGTAGTTGTATCCAAGTGTTACACAGCCATGTGCCAGCTAAGACCACGAGTATCACACATGTGATCTGTGATGCCTGACTCGAAAACTCATGAATTAGGGCTTCAAGGGAATTGCACAATTTGTGCTTGGTGGTTTTTTGGAATTTATCAATTACAGCTAAACAAAAATGTTAGCTTAGTTAACAAAGCTGTTAACGTTTGTAAGTCTACAACACTTGCAGAGAGGACGGTTGAAGAAAGTGGCAACTGTCGTATATAAATTAATAGACGATAATACGCTTAAGAAACAAAAGGATTTTCGAAAAATCGACTGAGATGCGGCTCATCCCGAAGAGCCAAGTATCGAATGACTCCGGTCGCGGAAGCCTATAAGTATGTTCAAAAAACTTACTAAAATATTCAGATGTAGAAGTGGTTCATCATCACTCAGGGAAATGGTTCAGTCATTCATCATTTTCGATAGAACTACTGATGAAATATAAGTAAAATACTAAAAATTATATTTTTAATATGGTTAAATAAATACATTGTGCAATAAATACTGAAGAGTCGTTATAACATCTACTTTCCTGCCCGGACTAGCTTAATGGTGTATCCAGAGATGACTTGTCCCTAGAAAACCAGAGAGCTTTGGCTCTCTCTACTTACCTGCAAAACAGAATTTAACTGTCGTCGACTCGAAAGAAGAAGAAGATGATGAAGATGAAGAAGTGAAATAAATGAATGTCGCGTGCAAACTCGAGTTGCACTATATAATTCTGGACCTACAGCTTGTTTTCACAGAGCAAAGTATATGTTGCTTCTCCGTCTTTCCATTTCTGCGTATTCTTTATATTTGTTCTACTAGTTTTTAGGTCACACTGTACCATTCTCTCGAGGTCACTTCTTATGAAGTAGGAACAAATTTAGTCTTGGGATCTCGAATTTCTGCAAGAAACGAGAGGGGATAGTCGCGTCAAAGTAGCATTCTGTGTTTATAAATGACCTTGTAGCGCCCTCACATCGCCAACTTCTTGAGTATCTAGAGGAGGTTTAGAAATTCAAAATGGACATCTTTGGAGACAGTAGGCATTCCCGGTCGTTTGAAACTTTTTCGCAGACAGCCGATTGGGACCAATCACCAGAAATAATGAACGTCTGATTTCATTTCTCGTTTATTTTTGCCGGTAATTGTTAACAGTAGGGGCTTTTGTAATTTCCTGCACCTTGTGTAGTGTAGTTAAGTTAGTATGTAAGATATAATGTACGCCATTACAACGTATTATGACGTCTGCAGCAGTTATCCATCTATAAACAAACAAATATGACTATTATCAGTTAGTACGGAGTGAATGATTTGTAAAATGCATCTGCTGAGTAGATAATATTTAAATATAGTATGTACGAGCTGAGGAATAGTTATAAAGATTTACAGCGCTATTAATGTCGCATTATTATTTCTTATTATTTACTTTAGATGGGATCATATAATCTATCGTGACAGCAGCAAATACATAATATATAACTCGTATTAATTCTTCAGTATAAAAATGCTTGAACTGTACGACGACTCAAATCAATATTGCTCCTGCGTTTAATAATTAATTTGTTTCTTTTCTACATTACTCTATCGTAATACAAAGTAGATAACATCAGTAGTCACGTTTCGGGTCTCCCTTCCCTGATATTGAAAATTCCCTGTTCATAGAATATTGAAGAGAAGTGAAACGTACGAATTGTTGATAGAAGTTTTACCTTGTTCCTGAATAGGAAAAGTAGTAGTGTTTCAAAGCAATGTCTTGCGAATATTACTACTTTTCTCCTTAAACATATTTTATGAAACAGGCGAATAAATATTACGTAAGGTATCTGTTTACTTTTACAAATTAAAATGTCGTACATAAATCCCGATGTATTGCACCTTATCGGTCACTGACGTCCACTGGGGTCGTGATCAATGGTTCGGATGTGGATGTGCATCAATCAAGAGCAACAAGGCGCCCCGCGTCAGGGCGCAATGTTCGCCACGGGAGTGGAGAGAGAAGGCGTTTTAAGAGATTGTCGAAAATCAAGATTAGGGAGGACAATGCACTACGACTGGATGTTCTCTGTAGTACCTACGTATTGGTATCGAGAGGCATTTGTCACCCGAACCCGCCCTTTTCCCCACCCCACCCTCGCCCGACGCCCCCGCCTCCCCGGAGACCTCGCACCGGCAAGTATCACTAAGTATCATCAGTATCATTTAGTGGGGGCATTAAAAAAAAAAAAAAAAAAAAAAAAAAAAAAAAAAAAAAAAA